AAAAACTCTTTAAAAGCCCATAAACTTGGCGGAAAAAGCTGTTTCAGGGCCAAAGTTCATTTTGCTAACCGTTTCAGCGGTAGGGGAGTTTAAATTTTCAAAGATCTGAAGCGCTGGTTGTTCCTGGAAACACGCTTTTTGATACAAATTTGGGGGTCCACCAACATTTTTTAACACCAAAATGTATTTTTAGGTGCAACTTAATGATTTTGGAAACATTTTACAATTTTTTAAAATATTTGGAATTTTTCGAATTTTTTGAAAATTGCAAATACGCAAATTTTTCACTTAAGAGTCGAATTTAGGTAAAAAGGCCACTTTCCAATAACATCGTTTTCGTATATAGATTCGGAAAAAATGGATTTTGGAGTTAGATAGATTTTAACTGCCATCCACATTTTTGGACACTTATTTGCCCATAACTCCGCAACTGTTGGAAATATTTCGAAAAGCAAAAATTTCCTGTATTACTACAGGCATTCGCTAGACTTCTGATATTCGCTTGAAAAAAATCGACATTGGCAACGGTCTGGGAGATAATTATTGTTGAATGTTGGCAACCGTTCGACTGTTCCATTTGCGCATACCGCCACTCTTTTGCCCGTAACTTCCGTAAATGTCTAGATATTTCAAAAGTTCCAAAACTCTCAAAAAGCCCGAAGAAGTAGCTATAAAAACTATTCCAGCCCCATATTGGAAAGCGGCAAGAGCAAGGGAGTAAAACGAGTTGATACTCAGCGAGTGTGCAACCGTTTGGAAGAAACATTTTTGAGAAATTAATATTAGTTGAGAAAGTTGACATTTATGAAGACTTTGATGCCGAATAGACGATTTTTGAAGCAAAATGTCCTCAGTCAGAAGTCTTCCAGTGCATTTAAGGCCGAGTACCTGAATTGCAGCTAGAGGATCATCCCTAAATTCAATAGAATGGTTTTGTTTGTTACAATGTGCCTCTAACTCTAAAGTGCCTTTCTTTCATCAATCAGTCATGCTCTTAGCGTGGTGACAATGTTCCAATTACAATTCAAATATTTACATATTCATCTAATAATGTCGATAATAACAAAATCGGTCAATGATTGAATAGAAGCCTGTCCTGACTAGAAAGCTGGATTCTCCCTTGAGTTCGAACTTCAGACCGACCCACTAATACCTGGTTTCATAAATTATTAAAATCAGGAGTTTCCGAAATTGGCCGACGAATGTTACCTATAATCTATCAGGGTTTCAGCAAAATATATGCACAATTGCTTCGTTGAATATACGTTCATAATTCAGAAGCGAATCAGCAAACGGGAAGGAAAACTCTAACATAATTCGATATTTGCAGAAATATGCGCCTCAATTTAAAGCGCTCAAGGCAGATGCACATTTTATTAAAGCAACTGAATATTTGAGTAAACGATAGCCAACAAGTAGCAAGGCAACTATGCATCCAGCATTAATGGAATTCATTTAACTTCAGGGAAAATTCACCTCATTCATGGAGTTCCTGTTCGCACGGCCCAACGCTCAAAGCGAGTGGAAATTTGGAATGTACATTTACATTACGTAATGTGATCAAAAACGTAATTTTAAAGTCATTTCCTTCGCAATATTCCTGTAATACGCCAAATATTTTCATCAATAGAATGTGTTTATAAAGGGAAATCATGAATTGGAAGTTTTATTTTCAATTGCGAGTGCACTTTGCTATAATTCCACTGGTTGGCAAAACCTTGTTTGCCTATCTTTCTAACTGAGTAAAAGCTTCTAAAATACAACTGACATTGGAAAAGTCTAAGCCAGATTGGATTGAACTATTTCGAAGAATCGTTCACCGATTCGCGTCCTCATTCAAGAAACGCAACATTTTTCCCATAAAACATATCATGTTACGTACCCGACGGCTCCATGCCGACTTCAAATCGAAATTCGAAAMAAATCAAACAATCAGCCTTAAAAGTTCCCGGTTCTCCCATCAAACAAAATCCRAAATGTGCATGRAATGAACGCATCACCTTCTCAAGGCTCATAAATCAGTCAAATCCTATTGTCTTCAGGACGGTGAAAGCACTAGAAGCAACGAGGAGTTTGGCATARCCATTTATCAGTTTAGAGAAACTGCGTCAAATTCGTGCCTGCATGAAAAGAAAACTTTCCATTTGAATTTTAGATGCTTTAAATAGTGCGAAATGTTTTGAAAACACGATGCATTTCCATTGGCAGAACATGTTCGGMTCTAGAAGTTCATAAAATGCGCTCTATCCAAGGGCGGATCCAGGGGATTTCGTCACYCACGTTGTTACGACTGAATCGACTTTTCAATTCTSTATCCAACAATGCAAAACGAATTATCTGGCTCGAATGGTTCTTGAGAAACTTCGAAAAAAGCAGCGTCATCTTCAAGTGGATTTTGCAACTCAAAAA